GGAGTGACCTGTGGCTATAGATGATGGAGGGAGGATGAGGGAGGATGAAGGAGTATAAATTGGATGCTGTGAGCTTTAAAGTAAGAGGGACTTTTGAAGGGTATTCTAGGATGCTGATCTGGATGGGGCAGTGAAAAAATAGGTAGAGAAATGCTCCAGAGAGTAGAAGGAAGGGTAAAACTGAATGGAGACCAAAGGACTGAAGAGATCAAGTGAATGGAGGAACTCATACCTTGGTTGGAGTTGTAGGATGGACCCAATCAGCTTCAGAATTCCAGAGGGGATGTAATTATATGTGATTTGGCCAGTGCCTAGAACACAACAGGTGCTGAATAAAATATCTCAATTAATTAATGTCTTTTGCTGTTAGAATTTTTTAAAATGTTATTTTTTATATTCATCTTTCATAACTTAGTCTCAGAACCTACTGGCTCATTAGTGGGCAGTCTTCGGGCTTTTCTTCATGTCAGGTTGTTGAGTGCAGTTCAACTTTCTTTATTGTCTATCTACTTTCTTTTTCTAGAAACCCCTTTCCATAGAGCTTCTGAGTATAACTCTGAGTTAGAGAAACAAAGATATGATATTTCTGGATTCTTGTTCTAAATTAATAAAGTAAGAGTAACAATACTAAGGGTTTTTTTGTGTGTATGAATCACTTTGAAGTTTACAAATTGTTATCTCAGTTACCTGTTTATTTCTCAAAACCCCAGGAGGTAGGCAGGATGGGTATGACTATTCCCAATTTTGTATGTAAGCACTTCAGACAGGTCTTGTGACTTTCCAAGACCACTCAACTACAAGCAGCCAAAACCTGGGAAAGTCAGACAGGAAGCTTTGCACCCCAAGTCTGAATTATAAGTTCTGAGACAGTGGTTTCCTAGACTGTAGTTTGAATTTGTTTAAAGTGCATATTCAATAGGTGTGGGATAGGGGTTTTGAAATCTACATTTGAGGCTAACATCTGATGCTTGTGTTTCAGTGACTGTACTCTGAAAAGTGATTATCTAGAAACTTCTTTTTCCTTTCCCTCTTAAAAGGAAAAAAAAAAAGGGAGGCTGATCTCACCTCTTACCAATCAAAGGAATTTTTATTTTCTTGGAGAAGGGGTGCCCCCAGCTCTTCTCTTCTGTGACCTACCCACACACACTGATAAAGTTAATTATCTGCCCTTGCTAAATGATTTTCCCTAGCAACATCCTAGCAACTAACATCAGCTCTGCCCTAGGCTACAAAACTGGAAGGAGATTTCTTGAAGTCCAGTGTATTTTACAACAGAACAAAACATCTGAACAGGAAATTAAACAGAAAGTAAACTGGATTCATTGCTAGGAGATGAGACACAGACATATGAGACCGTTCATGACAATCCACTGAACACAACAGTCAAAATGAGAAACTTTCTTCTCACAAGTTCTATGGAAGTCTGGAGGAGAGATGCAAGATCTCATTCCACAGAGAAGAGGATTTAAATGGGCAGAAGGAGGTGAGCGTACTGTAGGTGATGGGAAAGCTATAAGCAAATGTGCCGAGTCAAGTCTGAAAATGGGGGACCTGGGGAACCCAGCTGAGCAGCTCTGGGAACTCAGTCTGGGATCTATGACCAGATCATGTGGGGCCTTGAAGGTCACTTGAAGAACTTGGGCTGCATCAAAGGGCACTGGGAGGCTGTTACAGACTTTCAATTCATAGAACACATATGTATAGAGCCAGGCACCATGATGCACATGGAGGAAACTACGATGAGCCCCAGAGACAGTCCCTGCCCTTACAGAGCGTGGGAGCTAGTGGTGGAGACAGACACTATATAAACACAAAATGTAAAAATCAAACATAAGAGAGAATAGGTAATTATAAATCTTGAGAATGTCAAGAGAAACATATCAGGTTCCAGGAGAGCCTTGAGGGGCAGAATCTATTCCAGGAAATCAGGAAGGACTTCTGTGAGGAAACAATTTTGTATGATATCTGAACGATGCATAGGAGTTGGCTGGGAGATGGTTGGGCAGAAGTTCGTAAAACTGAAAAGCCGTGGTGGCTGGAGTCCAGGAGAAAAGGGGTGTATGGCCTTGAGGGGCAGATCATGCAGGACCCAGGAGGCTATATTAAAGAGTCTTTGCTCTGAGAGCCCCGGAAAGCCACTGAAAAAGGATTTTAACCTCGAGACCGACTTTCAAATCTGCATTTAAAAAAGGATTACTTGGGCTTCAGTTCAAAAGATAGATGGGAGGAGAGGTAGAGTAGATGTGGACAGCCCAGTGAGGAGGCTGAGAGGTGATGACCACTCAGACTGGTGGTGGCAGAGGAGATGGGGGAAGTGGACAAATTCAAGAGGGAGTTGGCAGGTGAAGCTGGTGACTTGGTGATGGGTTGGATGTGTGGAGAGAGCCGTGATCTCACATGATGGTAGAGCCGGGTGAGGGAAATCTAGCTCCAGCAGTGGGATTGGAGCTCCAGGGGCTGCTTAGAGCCTGCTGTTCTAGCCCAGATGATGGGGTCCCCACTGTGTAGTGGGAAGAACCCCATTGTGGTGTTGGTGAGACCTGTTTTGAATCCTAGTTCTTTTTCCCTTACCAGCTGTGGCACCCAGACAGGTAATCTTGTAGGTACCTAATCTGGAAAATAGCCGAGTGGAAACAGCCTCACATGGTTTTCCCGTCCATGTTGAATGAAAAATTAACTATACTGTCCCTCGTTGCTCCATTCTTACCCACCTCCAGGTGAGATCTGAATATGCCGATTTAGATGAAAAGACTTTCAAGTACACACAATTAAGCTATTGGGTGTAAAATAAGCTCTGTTAAGACACGAGCCACATTTTATTTATCTCTGTAGTTTCCTATTCCCTGAGATAAGATCGGGTACACTCTCATGAACCACTTACTTTATTTTATATTTTACTTATTTGCTTTTTGTTTGTTTTTTGTTTTCACTTTGGGAGGCAGGTACTTAGGTTAATTTATTTACTTATTTTAATGGAGGTACTGGGCATTGAACCCAGGACCATGTGTACTCTAAGCATGCTCTCTACTACTGGGCTATACCTTCCCCCCATGAACCACTTATTTTAGTGTAGCATATACATCACCATTATAATATGAAAACATACATATAACTATGTATTTAATATTTGTCTTTCCCCCAGATTGTAAGATTGACAAAGGCAAGTAGTTTATTTGTCCTATGTCCCAGTGCTGAGGACATCAAGGGCGTTGGACTTGAATGAATGAATGAATGTTTGTTTCCTCTGACACCCACTACTCAGCACACATTTGGCCCCAAACATACATTCAATGAAAGCTTGCTGGCTGTGTGGGATTGTGCACTATGGAGTCTACGTGAGCTCTGAGCCAGTCCGGTCATGCTGGAGAGAATTTACTCAGGACGCAGAGGTGGATCCAAATGTCACCTCTATAAAGGAAGGCTGATCAGCTGGATCAGGTGCTGCTGAGGGTCAGGAAGGATCAGGGCTGAGAAAAGAGCATAATTGGCTTCTACAAAGGGGCACTCTTGGGGGACCTCTGAGAGAAGGCACCCAAGTTAATAGTGGCAGTGTGAGTCCCAGCACAAGGACTGAGGGGTAAGGCGAGGAGGGATGGAGACCTCCAATGCAGATGGCTACTCCAGGCTGTTTGTTAGTGATGTCAAAGAAAAATACCTGACCTGGAAAGCAAAGGAGATTGCTTTTTAAATGCAGGCTCTTGAGGTGTGTTGACAGCCCAGGGGAAGGACGAGGTGCATAACCAAAGCTTCTGAGAGTACTTGGGGTGCTTGTGCACATTGACGGGAGGCAGAGGCATTAAGGCATCCACAGGGTGGGCTTGCTCTCCATTACTGTGGTGCCCAGGGCCAGGCTAGACCCGCCGTTTGTTCCTGGGGGTGTGGGGGCTGGAAACAGTGGAGACAGGGCCCAGTGTTTTATGTGGGTCATTTCATTTAACTCTAGTGCCCCCTAGAGGAAGGGTGTATTAGCTCACAGGCGCACACATAGCCCTCTGAGCATGAAATGCAAGCTTGGTAAGGTTAAATAACTTGCCCAAGTCTCACGATGGGTGAGTAGCAGGACTAATGTTTGATTCAGGTCTGTTCCCAGGGGAACACCGAGAGCGATTCTTGCACCTGGGCCTTCTGTCTGGCCTTGAGGTTGGTGCTTGAGGCTCTGCCCAGGGAGCCCTCAGGCTTAGACACTTTCCAAACATCTGTCACTGGGGACTGGGAACCTGAACTAATATCTAAGCCAAGAAAACACAGGCTTTTTTTGGGAAACTTTCAAAACCCCTTTCCAGGGCTATATGAGGACTCCTGTAGGCCTTTGGCACTTTTGTCTTTGTGGGCTCCTCCCTTCATAAAACAATAGTAAACATTACATTTTATAACTGTGTATGTATAAATACAAATATGTTAATATTAGCTAGTAAAATATTCTATTGAACCTAAATGTTTTTTTTTCTTCTGGTTTAAAGAAAACTTTCAGGAATCTCCAAAAGTGTTACAGGCCATAGCCTGGTGCCTACTGGGCCTCATGGATGGGGCCATTCTGTTCCTTTCCACTCTCCACTCTGAACTGTTGCAGAACCCTATAAGTAGGGCAATAGAGTCAGATAGCCATGGTATGTGACCCTGCCTTAACTGGCGCAAGCCTCAGTTTGCTCATCTATAAAATAAGTGAAAGTAATGTCACGTTTATTGTGTGCAGTGAGAGTGGAGAAAGCGAGTGGGTAAGTAAACTGCCCAGCGTATTGCTACGCACAGAGTAGGTGTGCAACAAAAAGTTAGTTCTCAGGCTTTCCCACCTTGGAGCACCCTACTCCGCAGGGTCCAGGGGGTTGGGGCAGCAGCCTCCTTGGTGGGACAGAGCCCGCAGTGTCCCTGTGCCCTCTGATTTCCTTGCCAGACCCTGGGAATCCAGCGTCGCAAAATAAACACGGCCGCGCCGCTAATCGCCAGCTCGGAAACAAAACAGCGCTGCGCTCGGGGATCTGGGCAAAATCAGCCCTCCCTCCTCCTCCTCCTCCGCCGCCGCCCTCCCTTGCTCGCACTGCTCGGCTTGCTCAGCTCTGCTCAGAGCAGCGCCGCTCGGCAGCCGCCAAGCCGAGGCGGGCACACGGTCTCCCAGTTGCCAGCGCCGGCTCCTAGCTCCGCTCCTTGCTGGGCTCCGCCAGATCTCGCTTCCGCGGGGACCCCTTCGGGTAGAAGTCGCGTGGCGAGAGCTGGCGTCAGTGGCACAAAGTTGGGGGCCCGCGAGGATGAGGCTGTCCCTCAGGCTCAGCCGGAGTCCAGTGCTGCTGGCTCTGGCGCTGCCCCTGGCCGCGGCGCTGGCCTTCTCCGACGAGACCCTGGACAAAGTGCCCAAATCAGAGGGCTACTGCAGCCGCATCCTGCGCGTCCAAGGCACGCGGCGCGAGGGCTACACCGAGTTCAGTCTCCGCGTGGAGGGCGACCCTGACTTCTACAAGCCGGGAACCAGCTACCGCGGTAAGTGGCCCGGAGTGGCGCTGGGGGCT